GATGTCTTGAATGCACAATAACATGTGGGTTTTCTTCATCCCAATTATAATTATTATGAAAATTGAATGTACCATTCCTGGTAAAACTAGATAAAACTTACTAGAGTTTGCTCTGTTTATAAAATCCATTATATCTCATAAACGAAGACAGATAGGACATATATTTATATGACTTTTTTTTCATTATTTTTAGGCGTACAATCAGCTTTCGAAGTGAATCCCACAAGTTACGAAACACCCTGTATTTCCACGGTGGAATTTAAATAGAGAATGTGAAACGCGACCTGTTCGTCGAATCATCAGAATTATGCGTCGTGTCATTAAATGCGCAATACGTGATTCGAAAAACAAGTAAATTAATTTGTTTCTGCGCGCTGCGCAAAAGTCGGGGGGAACTGAGACGCAATTGAAATAAAAATATACACTCACTCTGCAACCTCTGATTTTTCAAACAGACGTAAATATTACGACGTGAACAATACCGTCGTAAAGTTGCGTCACGTTGTGAGAATTGTACATCGGTGGAATCATCCTTCTGGAACACGATAATCGAGAATACGAAGTTTCTAACGTGTTAACGAGGCGACGAGTTGTCTGAAACGGCGGAACATCGTGCTTTCCTCTTGTTGACCTCCGTGGGACCGACTTATCATCGGCGATTGCCTTACTTTTACCTGGTGGGAAAGGCGCCACGGGCCCACCCATAACGGGCCCCCGAGAAGCGCGTGAATTATTGTCTCTCGCCGCCCTTTCGATTGTCTACTCGCGCAAAAATACACCGTATAAGCACCATGAAAGCTGGTTTATTGGATCGTTAAGGTGTTAAAGCACGGGCACGGCGAGTGGGAATGAAGTTGTGAAATTGGATGGAAGAGAGTTCTGGGGAGGTTGGATCGAAGCGGATCACGTACGAGGAAACACGCTCGGTTGGGGATCGAGTGGCGAGAAAATTGGGTTAAGGTACTTGGCGTTGAAAGTAATTTAAATTGAAAAAAAAAATAGGGCTAGATGTGACGAAACTATTTTCAAAGAAAATCACTGGATTTGGTTAAGAAGGTTTATTTAGTACTTAGTCTGTTCGATAAGAAAATAGAAATTAACTCTAGGTATCTTGAATCATTCGTTATACAAGGTGGGCCAAAAGTTTTGACTGATTTTTTTTTTAATAAAACACCAAAATACAAGAAAAAACTAATTGCATCGATTTCAAATTAAATTTGAAATTTCAGAATTATTTTGGTAGAAAGTGACTTCTAGCCCATCCTATATATTGAGCCAATTTGAGATTTTGAAGCATAACCGGCAAGTAAATTTATTTAAAAAAAAAAGCAAACGGACTAATTTCTGTATCTAATGATTAAATATTACCGAAATAACGAAAAAGATCGAGGAAAATAAGATTACACCTGGCCGAGTCAATAACGAAGCAATTGAGCATCGTTGCGCAAAAACTTTTCTGGTTACGGATTTTAAGAACGTTGCATCTATTCAAATTGAAATCGTCGAGGCGTCCAGCAGTGTAGAACGAATCGAGTTAAAAAGAAATGAATCGGAACAAATTTAGATCTCGAAGATGTGTGGCCATATACGAGTGCTTTGTATTCATAGTTTCAGGTACTTGATTCGTGACGGAATCCATCATTCATGCAGGAGAGACTTTCAGAATTTCAAGCTTGTCTCGATAGAAATAACCGGTATCATTCGAATCGCTGATTTCCCCATTACATTCATTCCTCTATTTATAGACGAAAAGAGCCATGAATTTCAAAAATGATTCGAATAAAAATTCACTTAACAATTGTTCCTCGTTCGTCTTTTACAAACTTTACGAATTTGTCTCTGATTTATGCAAATTTGTCTATCTATCCAAAGATTCTGTTTCTAATATCGCTTGAAATAAATACTCGTATATTTTTTTCCTGATCGAGATCCTTACTGAATCGAGTCACGATTCGTGGAGTATGTCATAAGTGATCCGCGGAATAAGGTGCACCGTGTTCTAGACTCTAGAACGCAAGAAAGAATCGTAACTCTTCGGATCGAGGCCACTTGTCAATTGTCCTGCCTGCCAGACGAACGCACCAGAATGCAGAGAACGCGCGCAAGTCGACTAATGACAACGATGATACGCACATCATTAATTATACATACGTATACGCCCGGTTAACACGCAACATCTTCCA